GCGCCTGTTTTTTTTGGGGGGGGGGGGGGGGGGGGGGGGGGGATTTTTTTTGTTTTAGCATGAAAGAAAAAACGTGACCCACCCCTTTAAGCCCATTAGTTAATTCTTGACCCAACCCATATAACTTTATATGAGAGGTGACCCACCCCCAACCCCCTTCAATCTATACCTCTATAAGGAGTTCCTGTTCACTGAACGAAATCAGCATATCTTGTGGACCAGTGTCCTACTCTGCGGCCACTGCGACAGTTATATTAAGAAAAGGAAGCATGCAAGCCTTCTCAATAGGGCTCATGTTTATTTACAGGAGCCCATGGGCTTATGGGCTCCTGTTATCTATTGATATTTAGTGCCCACATCTTTGATTCTCCATACTTAGGTTGGATTGCTACATGTGACATCCACTTGTGTTATATTTTATGTCTAGCATTGCATTAGAATTTACTTAGATCTTCCACATGAATTGTAGTGAGTGTGATTCTTTACAAAACACACAATGACCCACCCCCAATCATCGTGAAATTCTCTTTTGGCCCACCCCTTTTCTCTAAAAAAAGTAGGCCTGGCCCACCCCATGATTTTTCCTCCTCACCCCCCCACGTAAATAATGACCGGTCCCTAATATTTCTGTATGTTTTATATTTCGGCCACCAGGAAACCTCTTCCCAATTAATTGCACTTAGGTCATTCATGAATTTATTAGCATCAAAGCTGGAATAATCCCTAAATTTAGTCTTTTTTGTATGTGGTAAATTTTGCTTGTTTACATTGACAATACAGACTTGCGAAAAATGATCGGTTGTATCGGTGACGATATTGCCACTAGAAATATTATTCGCCAGGTCATTTGTGAAGATATTGTCAATTAAAGTCGCTGAGGACCCATACACTCATGTTGGTTTATTAATAGACCTTGTCACGGTTTTCGACGCCATCTTGACGAGTAGGCAAACGTGTGAGAAATTACAGTGTTTGTTTGTATGAGAATCTAATGTCGAATAATTTCCCTAAAACGGCTGCTGTGCTTAAATTTTTCCAGAGGCTTGCTTAAGATTTTCCATATATTTGCCTGTAATTTTTCCCGGGACTTTCTTACAGACAAATGTACAGAAAATTTTAAAAAGTGTTTCTAGGTCTTTTAGCGCTCAATTTTTTTTCAGTAGAATCCTTAGGAGTGAAGCTTTAGTTTACAATTCATTTTTTTTCAGAACAGCCGTTCTACGGAAATTATTCGACATTAGATTCTCATACAAACACTGTAATTTCTCGAGCGTTTGCCTACTCGTCAAGATGGCGTCGAAAACCGTGACAAGGTCTATTGTAGGAAGCATAGAAAAACTTTGCATACACTGAGGCAGTGTCTGGCTGTATTTACAGTTTTCATATTTTAGAAAGTCTACATTGAAATCTCCCATGAGATAATTGTCAGTGTGACGGTGTTTATTTTACGAAATTAGGGCGAAGCATTTTCAACATTTTAAAACAAGACCGGGATACTTATGTCTTTTCAGTTTGGAAGAAGGTTGTTGTTGTTTTTTCACCTAGAAACAGATCGATTTCTTCCGATAATTGGAGTTAAATCTCGCAAAAGTGATTGGAATTGACGGGTTTGGCCAAAGACGAGAGTTTGTGCAACTTTGTCCGCACTTGCTCAGATGTCGAGAGCCAAAGGAGATGTCAGCACTTAAAAAATCCTTTTAGGGGTATGGGTACGCTTGGAACAATTGAATGAACCATTATTATGACAATGCAACCATCTCTCACAAAAATGAAACCGTAACAGCTTGCAAGCAAGCTCTCCGAGAGAAGTCACGCGCGAGTGGCAAGCGAAACGAGACGAAACGAGAGGGAGTTAGGTGCGGGGAAAGAAAGTGAGAGCTCTTCGTTTCCTCCGCCATTCGCGGCTTCGCCACTCACTCGCGCGTTTGCCTGCCACTCGAAATGGAGAAGTTGCTCTCAGTCCATAACATTTCTTTGTAATCGTACGCGTTCGGTATTCGGTGAACCAGTTGACGTTAGGAATTCCGAGGAAAAATTGGTCCACGTCTCCTTTTTCACCCATGGATTGTTATTGTTACATAAATTGTTATTTTGATTTACAAAGGAAGTTTGATTATCATTAATTTTATGTTATACAGTGCAAGCCCGTTAATACGGACACCGAAGAGACCATGGAAAGTTTGGTCGGAAAGTGCCCGTATAAATTAAGTCAAAAATACACACTTTATTGGAGCAAAATATCAAAAAAGATTAAACAAAACATAAACATCAACAAACTTGAAGTCTATAGCGTACAAAATATCCATTTTTCCGTAGCTTAGTCTACAAGAACGTAAACTATGAAGTCGCTCATTTATACAGTGTGCATTACCTGGTACTGTATGGGCTAGTTATGTAAGAAAGTAGTACGAAACATTACGACTTTAGTTTACGCACACTTGCACATTTACTTGTATACAGTTCTTCTCCCACTGCCTCCCTTTTCATTTTTTGGCTTTCGTCCCATTTTTCGTGCGGCCAAAACCGAAAATCCCGTTCCTCGGTCTTTCTTTGCTCCGAAACGGCACAGAAACGCTTGCTACTATACGCGGGCTATCAATTAACGTGTGACAGCAATTTGCGTTGAAGGCGTTATAATGGATTTTTTGATTGACGACTAACAAGAACCATATGCACTTTGGGTGGTTAGCGCTGTGGACAGTAGCATCCTTTCCCCTGCCTCCTCCACAGGATTTCCCAAGGCTCAGTGGGGAGCACTAAGAAAGCGAGAAACGACACGCGAGAGCTGGAGACAAACGAGAAGCGCGAGAGGGAGGTGGTGGGAATGAGCGCTTTCGTTAATAATTAACTCAATTAACCCCAAATAGTGATCGCGACCGACGTGGGACGAGGCGGAGGGAAAAAGGAAAAAGCGCGAAAAGGAAAAGGGAGAGGGAGTGCCGTTCCTATATTCTTCTTTCTCCAATCCCCTCTCCATATTCCCTCCCTTCCTCCCCCCTGTGACGCCTTCTAACGCCTGCCACGTGCGCTACCCTAACCTGAGATCAGGCCCAATTTGAGCGGTTCTCATACATTCTCTCTAACGGCTACCGTTTCTTCTCGTTTCGCCATGCCCGCCAGAATGTTATTTACAAAGCGAAACGAAAATAGAGCCTGATCTCAGGTTAGGGCTACCCGTATTTTAATACTTAAAAGTGGTTGTAGGGGCCGATTATTATCCTAGCGGGTGTCCGTAAAGCGTCGTTCGATTGAATTAACAAAAAATATAGACAGCGTGTATAAATCAGGCTGACACTCCTTGACAGTTTTATTATCATTACTGTTGAGTAAAAAAATGGTACGGTAAGAAAGCTGTTTTTTTTAATACTGTATATATATTTGTAAAAGGACAGCTTTTTTACAAAAATATATTTTGTAAAAAAACGGTCATACTCTAAATGTTGCTGGCGAATTCAGCTTGTGTTCATATTAAAGTTGTTTAGCCTTTACAAGTGCTTTCTGGCTTATTTCTGGATCTCTAAAATAAAACACGCATTGCCGTACCTTACAGACCGCCTTTATAGTCCGTCATTCTTATAAATAAATCGGCTGCTGTTTTTATGGCCTCACAAGTTGCTGTGTGTGTCAAATGGTCTAACAAGAAAGTGTATGTGCATTTGTAGGCCAGCGTTTCCTTTTGCTTGATTAGACGACTGAACATGTTCCTACATCATGCTGAAAGCTTAAAGTTGTAACGCAGACATGACACTGCATCAACATGGAGTTTAACGTGGATTTCAACATAGCATGAATCCCGTGATAGAAGTCTAGCGTAACATAATACAGGAAATTGCCTAACAATTGCTGTCGTTGATTCTTGCTGAAGATTTTATGCTAGAAAAGGAGTTATAATTTATTTGTCCACTGCTAAGAGCATCAAAGAATTATAGCCAAGTGTTTTGTTGACAGTTAAACCGATTATTGCAGCTGATAACCTTGGGAAAAATAGATAATTAATACGGAGCAATATTCTGTACAGTTTTCGGCTTGAACAAAAGTAGCAATAAAGGAGAGAATAGAAGGCTTTGGTTGCTGCAAGAGATGGTGACAGGCATTGCTTATAAATAAGACGGTGAATAACCTAGCTATTGTATTATTGCCTAATATGCAGTTACTGCCGTGTGTGACTTCGGCCGATAAGCATAACAAATGAAATTACTGCCTGTTCCTTCTTCGCATTTAACAATTAGAAGGTCCTGGAAAATTGAATGACAAGGGAAACAAGAAGAAATAATAAAAATAATAAAAAGAACGTAAATTTTTAACGCTTTCAGCGAGTTAACAAAGGAATTTAAAAGCCCCACAATAAAGGGGACACGGGAACGAGAACGTGAACATGACTACCCGGATATCTTATAACGTATAGTTTGAGAAGCGCACGAAAACTACAGTTCAATAAAGTTCGAACCATGCTCTAGAAAACAGCCTGTCTTCGATAAATGGGTTTGTCAAATGGTCTAAAGGAAGAGCATGAAGCTCTTTTTTTCACGAAAATTTATATGTGTAAATAAGTAGGATTTTTACATAAAAAGGCAGCTTTTTTCCAAAAATATAATTTGTAAAAAACCAGCTTTTTTACATAAAAAAGCCGCTTTTTTACAAAAATATATTTCTGTAAAAAAGCAGTCTTTTTTACAACCGCTCAATTTGTAAAAAAGCAGGATTTTTACATAAAAAAGCAGCTTTTTTACAAAAAATATATTTCTGTAAAAAAGCTGGCTTTTTTTACAACTTTACTTTTGTAAAAAAGCAGGCTTTTTACATAAAAAAAGCAGCTTTTTAACAAAAATATATTTCTGTAAAAAAGCAGTCTTTTTTACAACTGCTCAATTTGTAAAAAAACAGCTTTTTTAAGTAAAAATGACGCTTTTTCTACCAGAACCGTTTTTTATGCAAGAACATTACTATTAATATTTTTTACAACTGTTTTTTTAATGTTCCTATTGTACCCAGCATAGAAACACTTGCCACAAAAGTATAAAAATCTTGCTGAATTATTAAAAAACTAGCCCCGGCTTTTTGGTCTCAAGTAAAAAGAGATATTAAATAACTGATCCTGTGAAAAAATAAATAACAGACCATTCATAACACGCCGTGGCTCGATTTGTAAATTCGTTGCCCCCAACGCACACATTTTTAGGGCTTCGTCACGCTTTCCTTCGCCACGAATGTCTGGTGATCCTGGTTAGAAAACTGGCTCTGATTGGTCCGTAAACCCAGAACGAATGTCGCTGCTCTTTTCAGCGGGCCGCGTTCGTGGGGAAGGAACGGTGACGAAGCCATGAGAACGTTTGCATGGGGCCGGAGCTAGTAAATCCGACGATAATGAGAAATGGCTAGTCTGTAATTTGAAAGTATAGTAAGTATAGGTAATAGCATGATTTGTAGTGATATTTGGCATAAATACCACGAGTGATATTTCGAAATTGTTATGCGTAATTTCACGAGCCGTTAGGCGAGTGAAATTTGAGACAATTTTGAAATATCACGAGCGGTATTTTTGCCAAATAACACGTACAAATCATGCTATTATTTCTTTATACCACTACCCGCAAAAGGTTTGTAATTTTCACATGTAGGTATTTCAAATTAAGCTGAAATACCACTGCTCTAAGGCAATCAAATTGCAGAAATTTATCATGTAGTGGTATAATACACATTATTTCACGCGATATGTTCTTGTTAGTATCCTGGTACATAAAATGAAACTATCTTCAGATAAGGCGAGGTGCGAATTCAATTGGCTCACAGGCACAAAAAGCTGAGGCCTGTGTCCACACAAGTGTTGAAACTTACTAAAATTTTTCAAATTATAATTTATGTATTTTCTTGCGAAAATAGCCATTGACATCGTCTCCAGGTGGAGACACACGCAAACCAAAAAGGACTCCCGTGGTCATAGGTCATACATCACCTAAAGAGCTAAGCTGAGCAAAATAGTACAAGGTTTCCATACCTTCCAATAAGTATATTGAGTGAACCTTACCACAAATTTTACTATATTGGTGTTCTTAAGAATATAGTTAGCTACACGTCAGCCAACAAAAGTTACAGTACTTTTTTAAACTCCGTAAAGTCAATACGAAACCATTGGATACTACTAGTGACTGAGATGAAAGAAAGAGGCTGTAAGACCCCGCTCAAGTTAGGCTGTAAGTACCAGTGATAACATTTTGCCACATCGAACTTTCTCTTACCATGTTAAGCAAAAAGCAACTTCAAATCAGAAACAGGTGCTTTTTCACAATAAAGCCGCCTGACTGCAAATCTCCTTCTACCAGGAACTCAGCCATAACCCGGAGCCATATTTGTCCAGCAAACCCTATCCACGTCCCAAATAGCAACTCCTCTTCTAGATACCTTACAAAATCTTCTTGTAAAAACTACACTTTAGTATCGAATACGGACCACTTCCCTATCAAAATAATTCAGCTTAACAAACAAATTTATTTCTGATCGCAGTATTCGACCATTTAGAGCCAAGTATCACTACCTCTTCCTCCAAGATGTCCCGGATGAAAACATTGGGTTGAATTCAAGGGATCGTCTTATACCACGAGCTTGGGGCCTGGGTGGGAGACTGTCATCAGTGCCAGTAGAATCTTTAGGAGGCCTAGGAACCTTATTCCCCTGCGAGCTTTTCTTTCGGGTACTAAGTGGACTTCTGATCAAATTTGATGAATACAGAGTAGGACTAGATTGAGTTCTGTTCATGGAAGGATATCCTTGACGAAGGACAGAGGGTGACATACCAATATCCACAGTGTGCACAGGCTGGTTAGGTAACTGGTATTCCTATGTGAAGATAAGAGAGTACGTACCTAAATATAAGTTACAATAAAAGTGGTTCATGCGATAGGGAAATCTGACTAGACTGTCTGGTTCTTGGTGTCATGGAATATTCTTTTGAGACACTATGTCATGTTTTCGGTGATAATAACGGCAACATCTACAAAAAACGTTTATATTGTTATTTCAGGGAAAATAAGAGTCAATCCATTGATTGCACAACAAAAAATGAAAATTATCTTTTCAACGAATGAGTACAGAGGCCTCAAAGGAAATTCCATGTCGGCATCCTGAGAGAGTGGGTCAGGTTCCAGCACACGACAAATAGGCTACCTTCTGGCTGTATTTTTGTTATTCAAGTTAATTCGGCTAGGCCCACCATATGCGGGCGTGCACGTGCGTGCTTGCTCGCTCGCTCGCTCCCTTTCTTCCTTTCTCATGTTTACATGTTCTTTTAGTGGGGATCACATTGGTGATAAGATAGGAACGTGACATACCATATCAAATGATGCCTGACGTAACATTCTGGGAGCTCTTTTCTCTCTGGTTAAATGTCCTACTGAGTTGCGTGGGTTAGCGGGAGGGCTGTACGAAACACGACTAGACCTGGAAGCTCTTCCTTTACTGTCTTGTTGATTTAAGACTGTTATACTGTCAAGAGATCCACCAAGATAGCCTTTATTGCTAGCTTGCTCGGACAAAGCTCTCGTTCTAGTAAACAGACCAGCATTTGGTTGTCGTTCAATAGCGACTTTTTCTTCTTTAGGAACACAATGTTCTTGCTTGTTAGCTAGTTGATTCAGGTTAACATTTGGACGTTTTTGTTCTTTAGATGGGCCCGGTTCATCTCCAGAGTTCTCCCTAGGAATTTTGTCGATAAAAGCTGGTCTTTCTGTGTCATCCTCTACAGCTTTAAGCAAGGTATCAATAACACTTGGTTTTTCTTCACTGATTCCTTCATTTCTACCAGAGTAATTTCTATCCTCTGAATGAACCACAGGTTTTTTTTTAATTTCTTCATTTGTATCAGAATACGTCCTTTGCTTTAAAAGAACTACAGATTTTTCTTTGATTTCTTTACTTGTATCAGAATGCGTTCTTTCCTTTAAGAGGTTCGTAGGTTTTTCTTCAAAGCTTAAGTTTATTGTTGTATTGTTGACCCCAGTCGTGGAGGTCTTACGTGTAACATCACCAATAATCTCAGTTTTAGTATCAACATCAGCATCAGCTTTACTATTAAACTCTTCAGCAGCTGAATTATCATCCGTTTCTCTGTGGTGTTGTGTTTCTACACAGTAATCTTTGCTAGAATCAAAAGGTTCCAATGATGCATCTTCTGCTTCATTTTCTTCCCCTACAATTAAGTTATTTGCGAAAACGTTTTCTTCTTCTTTGTTAAAGTTGATTGGAAAGCCTTCTTCCCTGGGTGGATCACTTGCAGATGCTGTTGCAAACTCTTCTTCTTCCAAGAGCTGCTTACCATTAGTCTCACATACGCTGCTGCATACGCTAGATTCAAGGTCGGTATCCAATTCACAGTTGGCAATAATTTTAGCAGTTTCAGATATTTCTTGGTCAGCCTCATTTATTTGGTGTTTTTGAGCAGCAAATACCACACAAGCAACATGCCAAGAGCCACAAGACACCTAGTTTAAAGCAGCGTAAAAAACAAGATTTGAAAGTCACAATCCACACTTTACATAACATCGAGGACAGGTCGTGAGTGTAGACATGTAACAACCGCAATCACTCTTGATCGCAACTCGTGCACTTGGGGAAGAGATGGGACATTGGGCTGACTAACGTACACCAAAAACCCACAGAAAATCCAAACAAAAAAATTCGAAGACCTCAACGATAAAAAGGGATCAAATTCACAAACCCCACTTAAGATTTTCGAAATAATTTTGTATTTAGACGTCAAAACATTGCAGAAATTGTGCGAAATTTCACGAGCAACATGCCAAACTTCACCAAAGAAAGAATAACTGAAAAACGGTAAAACAGAAAACAAGAAACGATATTATCCTATAGGAGACATCATCGTTTACAAACGATGTGTCTGTTATTTCAATTCGTAACGAGTGAAACAAAAGAATCTTTTGTTTCAAGAACCAACGCGCTTCTGGTTGGCAGCGTGATTGTTAAACCGCAAAAACAAAAACTCCAATACTTCCTTCGAAAGAAACCTCGGTACTAATAATTTTAATCATTTAACTCCCAAGAGTGATCAACATTAACATTTTCCAGCTAGCAATGTATGGAGATCAGTCTGGAGAATTCGTATGTGGATACTGTTGACCAGGGCTACCCAGTATTTAGCATTCTAAAGTGCTGTTTGACTAAAAAATAGTACAACTTACCTTCAATGCCTTCCACACTCCTAGAGAAACCAGGTGAGGTTCAAACTGAAAAAACCTGCCATTTTCATCATCTCGGATCACATTATTAGAGTTTTTACCCCACATATATAACTTGCCATCATCTGTAATGAAACGAATAAGTTGTAAGTGATCACAAAGTGTCGCTTTAAGTTACAGACTTCTTCAAACAGAGGTAATAGAGTCTCAGATGGTAGTAACCTGTTTCATATAATCATACACACTCAGTGATTTTTTATGTGGCCGACACCGAAAGCATCCCGACACAGGGGACAAAAAAAACTTTAGTACAGTGATCGTTGTGTTTTAAGCAATCTGATTTGTTAGCTATCATTTGCCATGTTTGAATTATTTTGTAAAGATCTAACTTTTGCGCATGAAATGTTTACCGCTCCAAGCACATGTGTCAATCAAATCGTTTTCTGTGGTTACCTTTCTGATTCTGAAAAGAAATAATATTATTAAGTATTGTACCGCAGCTGCCGTATTTTTGTAACTGCTAACTTACCAGTTACTGCAGCACAAGTGTTTTCTCCAACAGATACATTGGTAACTTTTCCTGGAAGAAGGTTGAAGCACAATTCTCTTGGGTGACTAACAAACTTCACAGACTTTCCTTGTCCAAGTTGACCCTACACCGATGAACAATTATTTAGTTACGATTCCAGTGTTATTGTACACTCTTCGAAAAAGCCCTATAATAAATGTGCAGCGTTATGACACTGATGTTCAATATGGCCACAACAAATTTATATTGTTGTTCTTTGTGAAACAAACTGCTTCTTCTCACAAAAACTCAAACAATATACCACTGTCATCATGTTTGAAGAAACTAAATGAGCTGTAACGGCGCAGAGCAATTAAGGAATTCACTATTACAAAACTTTTCTCAGCAGAAATCTTTTTTTTTTTATCCGATTTTCTTAACTTTTGACATGGAAAAGGTATTGAAAGTCAGCCACCACCGCTGCCTTAAAATAGGAAAAAGTACCAAGTTTGAGAGAGATTTGTCGAAAAGGAACGAAGGCATAAATCTCCACAAAAAAAGTCACAAAATTTGTGGAAGTTTGAACGGTGGGGGGGGCAACAACTTGCTCCCCACCATACATCAAGTCTGTAAATTTATTTTCATAACTGACTTATTGGAGCTACACCTTCGCTTGCTTTAGACATACCACTTTCAAACTTGGCAACTTTACTAATGTTAGGCGCTCTTTTCAGTGGTTTTGAAAAAAAAACATGAAGTGATCTATTTGGAGATTTGTTTTGAATGTATGTAAACGATTTGAGGCAACAATTTTTGCTTATGTAGTAAAAGTAAAAACTGGCTGTGTTCTTTCTTGATGTGTATTTAATATTATTTTTTACTTTGATTCAAGTCCAGCAGAAATTATAAAGTGCTATAACTAGTACATTTTCCATCAACATTACCTCAAAATTATTACCCCAGGAATAAATTGTTCCACTTGAAAGAAGAATCAATGAGTGAGAGTCTCCACCAGCCATGTCTAATAGTTTATCATGTTTTGTGCATGAATACACACATAATGGTGACAAGACATCGGTCTTGAATCCACATGCTTTACCATAACCCCAGGCATACACATGTCCATATACTACCAATAAAGAGAAATTAGACAAACAACGCACATCTACTCACTGCATCTAAACAAAGGTTGGATCATCTATAAATGTTGGAGTTAAGTCAAAAGTCATTCCAAGATAATGTTCCATCGAGTTCACATTCTCAGGATTGTCACTAAGTTTTCAAGTTGCCAGGTAAATACAACCAGTAGGCAAGATCAATCAAACAGCAAGGGGTTTCTTTTGATTCTATGTTTCTTCTATTTTCCTTTGAAAGTAGCCGGGGACCATGTTCATAGAAGCCGGAGGAAATCCCCAGTCCCCACCTCTTAATGGCAGCCCTTCATTTTTGAAAAAACAAAGCTTTGTATCTAAAGGGATCACTCATTTTGGTTATTGCTATTACCATGGTACTGCATCTTATTGTTTCAGCAAGGCCAAAAATATCCCATTTTATTTAACAGGGACTGAATTATTATCACAGTTCTCTGGAAATACTTCACTTTTTCAGTGACTTCAGTAAGGTAATGGTTCTATTTGAGCACCTCTAGCTTTCTAGTTCCTTTTAGGTCTCCTCACTAGTATTTTTTTCTGGTAATTTATTTTGTCTCCTGTATTTTTATTTTTTTTTGTAGCAAATGACCATAGTAAGTAGAGGGGACATACATGTGGATATATAAAATAAATGAACAATAAAATCTCTTATTTGAAAGTTAAAAAAACCTTTCAATATTGGTTCCAGAGCTGCTTTTTCATTTGTATTTTTTTAAAAACATTTTTTGATAATGACTGCAGTAAGGTTCCAAGGTTGGTGAACTAAACTTTACAAAAGGAATGGTCATCACCTAAAAAGCAAAAACAGAAAGGATTGTAAATGACAAAATAACCTCTTACAAATTCACGTTGAAGAAACATACCATCAGCAGCAAGAGTATGACTGTTACCACATGCAATCACGGAGACTGGTGGTATTTCTGGGATTGTCTTAGCACACACAACATCAACTGTATCACCACAGCCAATCTGACCTCTGTTGTTAACACCAACAGCTGCCACTTGACCACTTGTGAACAAAAAGATGGAATGACGTGAACCACAGGCAACTTGAGATACTGGACGACGTAACAGAGTATCCACAAAAACTGGTCGTAGCTACAGATGTGAAAACAAAACACTTGTAAAATCAATATAAGTTAATGATATTAAAATGAAAAGCCTTATATATGCAAGTTTTTGAAAGGGCTTATAGCACACAAGACATATGCATTTAATCAATGTTTCAGGGTGTCCAGCGGCATGGTTGCTCAAAAAAATAGGAAAATAGGAAATTTAATTTGTATTAAAAAACAGGGGAAAAATAGGAAAATCAATAGTACTTTCGTCGACATAGATAGCCTCCCTGCTCCCCATCAGGGCTATAATAAAGGCCACGAGTCCTTAGCCTTTACGTTTGCAGGATTCAAACCAACTTTCACGACTTAGAAGGAGTGACAAAGATCAGTAACGTTAGTTTTTTGGCTCAGTTATGCTGTAATCAGAATGACATTCTTGACTACAGGTCCAGCGCGGTTGTTCAAAGGTGATCATATGACAATTCCCTTCAAGTTGGCGGCAAATCTCTGAAAAGCTTCAAGGAGTGAAATTTCTTAGGATAGAAATTTCTTACGATACCATTGTCATTAAAGGATATTGAACTAAAAAGTCCCATGGAAAGCTTTCGTTCCATTAATCTACAATCGGTAGCTGGTTGAGGATATGATTGATTGAGTTAAAAGACCGAATCGTTTTAAATACCAAACCAAGCTTTCCGCGGTGTATGCAAAATGACACGGATCTGTTTGGTACCAGATTGTAAGTGTGTTATGGTTAAGTTCTAAGAGGAACGTAACACTCTGCTTAGCTATGATTGCAAGAACAGTTTCGGAACCAAAATATTGGATTCTTTGCCAGTTGCTTAGGAATAGCTGAGAACAAGAGCTCACCAAGAGAGCTAGTGCCGTAAACTAAACTTGAGTCTGTTCTTTTCGTGTAGCATACAGAATCCAGCTGGTGATTGGTTCTTTAACCAAGAAGCTGATTGGATGATTTATCTGATCTGTGTTGTTAAAGGGCAACTTGATCATCTTTTCAGTTTCAAAGATGAACAGAAAAGGGAGCAAGACTTCAAAATAATTACATCATGAAGTGTTCAGAGACTGAAATGTGTAGTTCCAGAAAATATCCAGACCCCCACCACGGAGGGAATTTCACTTAGGACCCCCCCACCTCCCTGGATTTTCCATTTTTGCAGGGAACTGATGACCCCCCACCCCCTCGGAATTTCCACAAGTGTGACAAAGACCCCCCAACCCCTCTGGAAAAGTTCATTTTCACGAAGAAAGACTATTAAAGTAGAAGAATGAGGCCATTTATGGTTAGTACGCAATGGTTTCCATCAGAAGCTTGTACGCTTCTGTTTCCATTTATTTGAGTGATCTCACAACATTAAAACACACTACACCACCACAAAGTAACCTGATCCGCAATTTTTGCTCATCTCTTACGTTAAATGAAACAGAGAAAGTTAATAAGCCCGTTATATTTGTGAATTTACCTTAATCAGGGCAAGCTTACGATTTGTTATTCGTCTTCATGGGCGTAATGTTGATAGATTCGTGAATTAACGCCATTTCGCGGGGGAATGCAGAACAAGTCTAACTTACGACCACAAAATTAATGCAAAACAAAGAGAAGAATAAAAACTCTGAACTCTGAAATGATAACAATGAATACCCCCTGCATCTTGAAGGGAAACCAAGTTCAATTTACTGTTTTTCGATCGACTGATGCGACATGATGCGCGATGGCCGTATANCTTAGGACCCCCCCACCTCCCTGGATTTTCCATTTTTGCAGGGAACTGATGACCCCCCACCCCCTCGGAATTTCCACAAGTGTGACAAAGACCCCCCAACCCCTCTGGAAAAGTTCATTTTCACGAAGAAAGACTATTAAAGTAGAAGAATGAGGCCATTTATGGTTAGTACGCAATGGTTTCCATCAGAAGCTTGTACGCTTCTGTTTCCATTTATTTGAGTGATCTCACAACATTAAAACACACTACACCACCACAAAGTAACCTGATCCGCAATTTTTGCTCATCTCTTACGTTAAATGAAACAGAGAAAGTTAATAAGCCCGTTATATTTGTGAATTTACCTTAATCAGGGCAAGCTTACGATTTGTTATTCGTCTTCATGGGCGTAATGTTGATAGATTCGTGAATTAACGCCATTTCGCGGGGGAATGCAGAACAAGTCTAACTTACGACCACAAAATTAATGCAAAACAAAGAGAAGAATAAAAACTCTGAACTCTGAAATGATAACAATGAATACCCCCTGCATCTTGAAGGGAAACCAAGTTCAATTTACTGTTTTTCGATCGACTGATGCGACATGATGCGCGATGGCCGTATACATGTTTGGTGAAATCCACACCATTTCAGCGAGGATTCGATCTTAAACATGCCACACCTCAACCACAAAATTAAGGGAAAATAAAAAGGACAATAAAAACTCTACATTTTAAAATGGTTACAATGTATAGCTTGTGCTTCTTGAGGCAAAATTCCCACTCTACTGATCGATCGACTGACGCAACGTGATGTGTTGCACGCGTTGATGTTTTGAGGGAGACTGGTAACGAGTAATAATGGCGGCCGAATACGAGAATGCGATAAAACGAGTTGTAGTCGGTCTAATTCCTTTGAAACTACATCCAAAACGCTTTTGGAAGAAAGGAAACCTGGTTAAGATCAAAAGAAACAATCTTAAGTGATATATTTCAAGTTATTTATGTCCTAAAAATGATCTACCAGGTCGGTAACAAGCAATGTTCGAACTCAGGTCGAAAACGAAATGATATTGACCCCCGGGAAAGTGATTTTATGGTCCAGCCCCACTCCCTTCTGGAATTTCCTGGGCCTCTGACCCCCCCACCCCCCTGGAATTTCCAATTCCCTCCGTGGTGGGGGTCTGGATATTTTCTGGAACTACACAATGCAGTTTCAGTGGGCTATGTACAATATTATTCAATAATCATGAGAACTATAACATTTCATACAATACATGTACATGTAGGTGCACTAGAAAATTATACAAAAAGTAACAATAATTATAACCAGAACCAGAACTCTAATGGGCAATAGAGGTCATGGAAAGAGCAAATGTAATGTAACTAATATTATTTTTGCTAATATTAGAACACCAAACTCAACATACTACTTGCTTTATGATAAAGCTCACTTTAAAACACAATACAACTATAATCCCATTTTCAATTTTGGCTTCACTAACTAAAAAAGAGGAAAAATAGGAGGTTTTTGTTTAAAAATAGGAGAAAATAGGAATATGCTCAAAAAATAGGAAAAAGTAGGAAAAAATAGGAACTGGACACCCTGATGTTTTTTTGTAACTTCGACAATATTTTTTTCCTGACTTAATGCATCTGACCATTTAATAAAATTATATACCACTTATTAACCGCGAGTGAGGTCATTACAGGCAAATCTCAGACCAAGGCCTTGATGTATTGACTGAGTGATACCGAGGTCAAAACATCAAGGCTGAGGTCTGAGATTTCCCTGTAAATATGACCGAATGGACGAGATTAATAATTTATTTGTCATACCGCCTTTTCATTATGGACCTGAGCCTGTGATCAATTAAAAATCAACACCGGTAACTTGCTAGTGGATAGCTCTAAAAAAACACATCATCTGAAGGAGATGTATACTTGAGCCTGTGATACAGTCATGTGACACTGGTCAGCGCTTACCCTTTTTGACAGCTGTCAGTTTACCATAACAAGGATGTCCACTATCAAGTTAAACACAGATTGTATATGCCTTGGACACCTTAAGCTAGTAATGCCCAGTCATTACAAAGACAATAATGCCCACTTAGCAGCCAATCAGAGTGTGCGTACTATTGTAGCCATACAATAGTATGGAATAATAAGTTATAATAACAAGCCATAATTAAAAACAACTTTAATATTAGTAGACGTAAGTGTAAAGAAAGGAATGTTTCAAACAAAATTTAATGCTTAACAGCCTGCCAAATAGATATTTTTTCAAGGCAGATTCCAAGGTCACATACGTGAGTTCTATGCATTATATAAGTTGTGATAATAGAGTCAGTAGTTAGGAGAATGGAATTAGATAACAAGAAACTTAAGACCTGATTTTCCTTGAAGTCAGGTTTCCGGAAATCATATCCTAATTGTCCACTGTAGTTATTGCCAAAACTGAAACAGTCTCCATCTTGTGTCCATACAAAGCTGTGTCGTGTTCCACATGTGATTCCCTTCAGTTTGGTACCTAAAGACACACCCAGGTGAACTGGGCGAGGATGTGCACATGTCTCTGTGTCCCCTGTGCCTAGCTGGCCACTGTTACTGTTGCCCCAACTGTATACCTTATTATCATCTGATATATAAGAACAGTAGCAGTAGTAAGTAGCACCTTGTTTTGAAGGAGGGCAATGGGTGGGGGGATAATTCATGACAAGGTGAATTTCAAGTTAATATGTCACAGAAATCAATATACCTTTGTACCCACTCACTTGTTGTTTTGTTGTCCAATTAAAACAATAAAAGTACAGAATGTACACTAGAAGAACTAATGCTGGCTGTACTTAATGATGTCTCTGTGTGCAATTCTTTCCCAAGAGAAAGGTTGTTGATGCAAAATTTTATCAGAATATCACCATGCAGTCTTTTAATAAATAGCAAATACTTAAGTGTCCAAGTGTATCACAATGTCAATGTAATGTCACATTGTTCTATAGATAATGAGGACCTTTTGGTGAAACAATCTGCCACTTTAGAATTTTATATGTATTTCAGTGAGGACTTTTTTCAGTAAAGATGTCATTCTTTTAATCTTATTTACTTGTATGAGACCTTCATGTACATTTACAACAAATTTCAATTTAATGACTTGGGGTTACAAACTCAATTCAGAGCTGTAAAGGTGGCTGAACACAGTTTTGTGGGTGGTCAACAGTAACTCGCGTGACGGCATGTGTTTTAATCAAAAAACCTAAAAATCACTTTTTACCGACTTTTTCACCTGATTTTACATTAAATAGACAGATTTGGTTGTTTTATGCTGAAAAGCGGATTTTTCTCAAAAAGCTTAGTACTTTGCTTAACCCATTCGCTCCCAGGGAGATTTTGCTGAAAAACACGTTTTGAAGCTAGTCGAGTGGTTTTCTGGTCACTGTCATGTTATAAAGAGGTAAAACTTACCACAAAATCGTTTACAGGTCATACACTTCACGGCCTTCTGATCCAGATGCAAAATATTAGCTTGCGTAGTTCGGGCAGGCGCAGAAAGCAAAATTTTGAGATTTTACTTTTTGCTTTCTCTCCTCCCCTCTTTTTTCGCTTTTCTTGCCTCATTTTTTTTTCTCTTGCTGGGCATTTAGTAGGCTTCATTTTAGTGGTGTTAGCGGACAAAGTTGCCCTTGACCGTTAAAACTGATGATCTCACAAGCAGTAGAAAAGACGTGGATTGGCATGGGCGGTTACAGGCGGCTTAGGGGCGAATGGGTTAAATTAGACAAACAAACATGGCAACAAAAAAAGCAGTGGTACACAGAAGACGATTTCTCAAAATCTACCCCTTAAAATGTTGTGTTTTTGGCAGAATATTATTTTATTTTTATCATACAGTGGAATCCTGATTTCTCGAACCTCCAGCGGAAACGCAAATTGGTTTCAGAAATTGGGAGTTCGAGATATCGAAAGTGGCATCAAATTATGCTTAATTGGCCGGGGTATTATGTGATTATGAGTAAGTGTTCAAATTTTAACAAAAATACATCCTTTTTAATGTAGATCTTGACCTTCATTCATAAACAAAACATACTGTACTTAAAAAACAAAAATAGAACATAACAGAACACAGTCATTGTACCTTTCAGACTGATGACAGATGGATTTGTGGCTTGTTGAGTGATTAAAATGCAAGAAAACAGCTTATCTGGAATTGTCAATTTGTTTAAAGGCGTGAATGTAATTGATGTCTGCACTAAGTGGTTTTAATGTTATTTATTAATTTTATTAGTTTTAATAATTACATTATATATTATATAACTGATTATCTAAAAACCCATCTGTTAAAATTTGGTCAAATAAGTTTCAAATGGTGATGATCAGTTATAGGAAGCTGTATGCAAGTTTATAGGAAATCTAATGAGTGAATTTTATGTAAACTGAGCAAAAGTGGAATTTTAAGGTTGCATTCAATCATTCATGTTATTTATTAATTTTATTTATTTACCAGTAAAGCCTACCCTTTGAAGCAGAAGATTGATGAAGTGGGGTCAGCTAAATATTACGAAAAAAAAAAAGAAAGAAAAATGCAAAGTACATTTCTAGTTTACAGGACTGTGATTGAATGAAGAAATGGACTGTTTAACTTTAGGTAAATTAGTATTCTCAAAGAAAGACTGAGGCAGACAGTTCCACTGAGTGATTGTTCTAGGGTAGAATGAGAGACAATGAGAGGAGGTACTGGTAGATAAAGGAACAAAGCTGTAGCTGTGAGAGTGCCGGGATCGTCAGAGTTGGATATCTCAGGTACTCTCTGGCATCGACTGGTAGGAGTCCGTTGTAGATCTTGAAAAGGAGTGCAAGCCGCATGTCAGCTCTCCTCTGCTCCAGAGTTCCCCATTCCAGGTCATCTAGCATATCAGTGACACTAGAAGTGTGTTGGTATCTCTTTTAAGTCCACCTTGAGGCATGCCTTTGAACCATCTCCACCCTATAGGCACCATTGTTTTCAACACCTAGTCTGGGGTCCCAGATTGTAGAGCCATATCCAAGCTGGGGGCGCACAAAGCCCATATATGCCTTCTCACGCAATGAACTGGATGACAGATTTCAGATTTCTTTTCAGGAAGCCAAGGGAGCGAATTGCTTTGGCCGTGATTACAGCAATATGTTTATTCCACTTCAGATATTTTGAAATGTGAGTGCCAAGGTATCTAGCATCGCAGTCTCTGTTAGTGGAGCACCGTTCAATACATGAGTGAAGGGAATCTGGGTGCATGCACGGGAGACATGGAGTACTTCACACTTTGAGGTATTAAATTGCATTTGCCATTCTTCTCCCTATTCTGTAGAAGGGTTAGGTCATCTGGAGCTGCTGGCAGTTGTCACTATTGTTAATGGTGAGATACATGATGGTATCATCTGCGAAGAGCCTGACCTTTGATTTTATACCATTGGGTAAATAGTTGACATAAATGAGAAAGAGAGAGGGGCCAATGACTGATCCCTGTGGGACGCCAAAAAGAACTCGGGTGGGAGCTGAACTTTCTCCATCTACAGTCACACTTTGCTGCCGGTTATTCAGTACGTTGTTAATCCAGTCTAAGGTATTGTTTCTGATGCTGTAATACTTAAGTTTCAACAATAGCCGGTTGTGACAGACTTGTCGAAGGCCTTTGAGAAGTCCATCACGATGACGTCGGTTTGCTTAGCGTTTTGAGGGGTGTCAATAAGGTCTGTGATGAATTCAAGAAGCTGTGACTCACAGGACCTGTTCTCGCAGAATCCATGCTGTAATGGATAAAGGGTGCTTTTGCCTCTAGGTGGGACATAATGCAGCTTGTTATTATATGTCCTAAGATCTTGCTGCAAATGCAAGTCAGCGAGATTGGTCTGTAGTTCTCAGTGCTGATGATGTGGGTTTGAATAGATTTGCTGTAAATTTTCTGAAGCACAGGTGCAATTTCAGTGGATAGCTCTTTTAAGACAGCAGGCACGAGGTCATCTGGACCAGCTGCCTTACGTGATTTCAAATTCTTCAGAAGTCTAATGATCCCATCACGAGTAATGATGATTTCTGGCATTGTGGGGTACTGGAAGCTATCTTCCTGTGTGTTGTCAAGGATTGCTTTCTGACCATGTTCCTTTAGGCTGAGTGGTGACTCTCTGGTAAATACCGATTGAAAATAAGTGTTTAATAGCAAAGCCTTTCCCTTGGGATCAGATATCAAAGTTCTGTTATTTTTCAGGGGATGGACTCCTGTATTGTCAGATTTTGTGTGGTTGAGTAGACTAAAGAAATGCTTGTTGGCCTCAAGAGGGTTGTCATTATTGCATGGATTAATAATATCTTCTACATACTGGTAGTAGGCAGATCAAAGCTTTTTCTGCACCACATGTTTAAGACCTTTGTATCATGGATCTTTGCAAGATGTCGTTTGTCCCGTTTTCTCATTAGATGCTTAAATATCTTTTGTAAGATATGGGAGGCCATTTCGTGATTACGAAAACGTCACATTTTACCTGCCAATAAAAATCTTTCATCAGTATATTTTTCACTTGCCAAGTTTCAGCTTGGTTATCTGCAACCATTCTCTTGCCATGATTTTGCAAAGGACATATACTCACAAATGGCCAAACTGTGTTCAGCCACCTTAATAAACTGACAAACATGGAAAACATACAGGAGGGGGATATAAGGGAAGAACAAATACTGCAAAACCATACAGAAGTACGTATAAACACTGCACAGAAGTACGTATAAACACCGAACAGAATAACATAAGAAAACTGCAAACCACATTGAAATTACCCCCAAATTTTTAAATATCACAAACTGCTTGGTTTTGTAAAACTGCAATACTGCAACATAACATAAAAATTTCTACAAAATTGAACCAAAAGTCGAGCAAAACTGCATCACCACAAACCTTTACACCCTCATCACACAGGGATCTAAATAGTATAGCTGTGTTGCAGGTAAAACCCATTCTCTGGATAAACAAGTATTCAACAGTTGTAGGCAAATTCTAGCCACTTTTAGAAAGGTGCAGTTGGTGTTTTAAGTTTATTTATAATATATATAAAAAAAACTATAACAATCAAATCTGACTGACCTGCAGGTGTTTGAGGTCATAAAAAACATCACCATAATGCATTCTCAAATAGTTTTTTTCAATTAGAATAGCAAGATGCTGAGAAAATAATTTTAAGAAAAAAGTTCAAGTGAGGTTAGTAGCTGTCAGATTATTCAACTGTTGTCTTACCGGTGAGGACCATTGTATGACTAGACCCACAAGATACTTCTGTCACTGTCCTGTCATGACCTAGCCACAAGGGAATCTCTAGAGCATAATGTCTTGGTACATCCTCAGTATGCCCATGGCCATGTTGACCAAATTCTCCACAGCCCCAGACTAAAAGTAGCCCACCATAACATGTGGCTTCAGACGGTAGGGGATCAGTTACAGGGAGTTCCAGAAAATTCCTTAATGGTTCATCAGTCAACTTTCCAGTCTGATTCTCATATTGAAAGGATATGTTGGAGTTGGTTTGATAAGTGCCACATTTCTGTGACTGCTCAAAATATGAAATTTCTTCGTAGTTATTGATGGGATTACTGCTCTCTATTTGCGTTATGCTTTCAAGCAGTGAATCTTGTGTACTTTGAAGCATGTCTCCATGTTCCGTGGAAGCCATGTATAGTTTCAGCTGCCCTTAATGCTAAAAAAGTGACTTGCATCCATTGTATAAGCTTAATTATAATCCAATTCTGAGGTTAATTTAGCTTGATGTTATTGCAAATCTATATCTCGCATCACCAGAATGAGTTCTTGATAATTCCACCTTTAAGCACAGAATCATCTTTCTGGAATGAATGAAGTGTTTAAGACATGTAGAAAAAACTACAGAGTCAATTATAGGCACATTATTGTCAGCTTATAAGGTTACCTTACCACATCACTTCACATCAGCTTAGCTTATGTCCATTTGCAATCTTTCTTGGGTCAACGTACTTCTTCCTACGCAGTTAACTGATTTGCGATAAATATTAAACGAAGCCAATAAAATATAACATTGTACCGTTTACTCCCGTTTTCAACAATTCCTCAATCCCAAACTCGTCCGCCATTTTGGACGAAACGTCAAACACAAACACGGAGAGACTGGAAACTAATTCCCTCCACTCGAAACCAATATCAGTGGGTCTTCGTTTATAGAAGGTGCTGAAAAGGTTTCATTTTGTCATGGAATCAGGAGATCCAACTTTTCTGTCATTACTTCTTTCAATTGGTCGCGACTTAACGGATGAAGATTTCGAGAATTTGAAGTTTTTATGCCAGGGAACTATCCCAGCCAGTCACCTCGAAAATTTGACTCGTCCGCGCGAGTTATTTCTGGAACTTATTCGCTGCTGCGATCTCAGCGAACAGAATAGGGACCCACTTTCTACTTTACTTTTCCATATTAATCGGCACGATCTGAATAATCGTCTTCTCGGTGTTGAAGGTACGTTCCTGTCTTTTGATTTTTCACTTGGAGATGGAAAGAGGTTGAGATCCTAGAAAACAAAAAAAGTCTTAGCTTATTTTGATTTAAAATATGAAAAAAGATTAATGGGTGGGGAAATTAGCACTTTATAATTTTAGCCTCCTTTTATATCTCTTTCACCTTAAGATAAGAAATGTATTGTACACAGTCATTTTATTGGCCATGTAAGTGTAATTGTAATGAGTTGCGATCCGTTTTTATGGGCAACTATACTAGCAAAGATACGTGTTCATTGCTTTGCTCAACCATCACCTTAATGTCGTCCTACTCAACACATTTCTTTTCTTTTAAAATAATAACTTGGAATTCCCCCACTTAACACTTCTGAAGAAGACTTACCCAGCTAACAATTCACATGGCTGTCAGGTGAAATATCTGCTGGGTGGGTGGATTCCGATGGCTGTCATAGAAGATTTGGACTGGACTTTAAACAGTGGACTCTTAATTATGGTATGAATGCAGAAATGACTTTTGCATGTTGGCATGGTTGTCACTGGGAGGGCAGGGGGAAGGGGGAGCACGGGGAGCACGGGGTAAGCAGAAGCAGAAGGGAAGATGAATAGGCGATTTTCACAATGATTGTATTTGACTACGACTAGCAGAATTTATTTTAGTTTTTGCTCTCTTGTTGAAATTTATTAGTCCCGCTGAGGTTTAGATAATAATATTATTCGCCGAAGTGGAGGTGGCTAGTGGTGGAAAATTTACAGAGGCCGTCAAGTGGCGAGCTAAATATCTGTTGTAGTTAATTTTTTATCTCAGGTAATTTTTATTTTTCTTTTGTTTTTGGGTATGTTAATGTATGCTAATGAAGTTTAAACAAAAGAAAAATAAAAATTACCTGAGATAAAAAATTAACTACAACATATCCACCACTAGCCACCAACACTGAAGTGAATAATTGTTTTAGTACATACTAAAACAGTGAGATAATAGAGCACAAAGATGATGATTTTTAATTCATTTACTGTTGCTGACGATTACAATTTTGGCACGCCATGACCGAACGGCCACGGTCGTCATTTTTTCATGCCAACAAATTAAACTTTTGAAGGCATTTGTTTAGCTCTTCCGGGGAAATTTCCTCAAAAGGAGTTGTGAATTCTTTTCATATTTAAAATCATTCTGTAAAAAAGATTATTAAATTTAGTTTTAAGCTTATTTATGAACAAGTCAACTAAATAAAGTCACGCAGGAGTTAAGCTTAACCCATTTGCCCCTGAACCGCCTGTAACCGCCCGTGTGGATCCACGTCCTTTCTACCCTTTGTGACGTCATCAGTTTTAACAGTAAAGGACAACTTTGTCCACTAACTTGTGCAGAGTGAAGAGATCTTTCAAACCATACCAGAATGAGCACAATTCAGTCAAGGACACCGGAGAAAGAAGCAAAAAACCATGTGACATTGACCTGAAAATCTCCGTGAAAATCTTGTTCCATTCCTCACCTACCTTTCCTTTCACCTAATCCTAAGATCCTAAAAGCTTTCCTAAAAACTTTTCCCACCAAAACGAAGCCTACTAAATGCCCAGCAAGAGAAAAATAAAAATGAGGCAAGAAAAGCGAGAAAAGGGGGGAGGAGAGAAAGCAAAAAGTAAAATCTCGAAATTTTGCTTTCTGCACATGCCTGAACTTCTCAAGCTGATATTTTGCATCTGGATCAGAAGGCCGCGGAGTGTACGACCTGTAAACTGGTTTGTGATAAGCTTTAGCTCTTTATAGCACGACAGTGACCAGAAAACCACTTGACTAGCTTCAAAATGCGTTTTTCAGCAAAAAAACCTTGTCACTAGATTCAAGTCAAAAAGACAGAGCTTTACCTGTTTAAACTTCCAAACTGAACTTCGTCACCTTCGTGTATTTCGGTAACAGCTTGCTTGATTAGTTGTGAAATTTCTTTGTTTGTTACAGCAGCAAACCGGGAAGGCATATTGCTCGAGTTTGGCGTTGCTCACTTGCTCGGAGGAACTGGAGTTGAATCAGTGAATAGTGCAGGATATACACTAATTGAGTGGCCAATCAGAGCGCACAAAAAACACTATCCACTGTTTTAGTATATACTAAAAAACAAAAGCCCTAATTTGCACTAGAAAAAAACAAACTGAAGGATTCTGATAGTTGTATTAAAGTGACATCATTGTGCATCCCTTCAGTATGACAATTATTGTCCTATTGAGGGGAACATCTGCCTGAAAGCCCAAATAATTTTGTGAATGCCTTTTTTATAATAAAGCAAACAACTGATTTTTTAGGGAAAATGAAATTTACTTAGTAATACGTTGTTATAGCTAGGACACTTGTTAGGATGAAATAAGGGGAAATTGCCATGGAATTTGTAATTCTAGAACCATCAAAGGTCCTATCACATAAAGGTATATTGAATTTACATCACTAAGAATGAAGGTTACCTTGTAGCACCATGGTTACAATAAATTTTTATTTTTATTCTCAGTAATTAAATGTAACTCATTATTATGTGAAAAGTTTCCAGGCCTGGGTGGGGGTTGGGGGTCTCAACAACGTTTCACAAGGGTAGGCTCTGCCTGTCTACCATTATGTAACATTATGGACTGAAAAAGTACCCCTTTGAGCAGATTGATTGGCTCCTGACACCTTTTAACGAAAAATGGTATCTCTCACACATACATGTACCTGACTTAGGTTTCTCTAAAATGCTTTTGAAATTGTGTAGTCCCAAGGCTACATTATTCTGTGCAGGCAATTGGGTCACATGGTCTGAGCAAAGAAGTGAAGCCTAGACAAAAATTTGTAGACGTGAGACAAAAGTGAGACATCCCATGTGGTGGTTTTCAAGACCAGAGTTTCAGATTTCAAGGTTAAAAATATACCATGAAAAGACGCAGATGGGAGGGAAAGTTTGAAAGAATGCTCAGTTCTTTTTGGTGGACAAAGGAGGAATTTGATGTTTTCTTCACAGTGCTTGGCCTGTTTTGAAACTCAACCAGGTGGTGAAGTTTTTGAAGAATTTTGATGTATATTTTGTACTCTATGCTCAAGAAAATGACGTTTTTGAAAAAGAAATTTATGCATTTGTAAATATCTTTATACAATATATACATTTTGAGATCAGCTTGGGCCCTCCAATTTGAGATATGTGTTGAATTTTGCCGCGTTGATTTTACTTGCATGAACGGATCCGCAAGCCAGGCTGGCAGTGTTATGCATATTGCTCTTAAGGATTCATTTATGGCTTTTTGAATCATTTTTTTCGAGAAATAGTTTCTCTGTCTGTTGTTGTGTGTTCTTTCATTGATTACATTAGCTCAAAACTTGATCCTGTACTATGTCGGTAAATTTTTTTAGAATTTTTACTTTTTGATATGCATCGATGATGATATTTGAGCGTATGGTTTTCTGATTATTCAAGATTTGCACTCATAAGTTCACTACAAGGAGGGTCACTAAAGTATCGTTTTTGAAGACGTGATAACTTTGAAAAAATTTGTGAGGTCTTTTTCATTTAAAAATCAGGTATTTAGGAGCAACAAACTCCAATACATGTTCATTGAGACTGAGAAGATTGAAGGAGTAGAAATCAGGCTTCACAGGGATATAAATGATATTCTGATGATATCACTTTTCAAAGTTGCATGGCAAACGTCAAGATCTATTATTTCGCAAATATCCACTTGGGTCTTAAAACCATAATTTCCTGCTGTTTGCAACATCTGAAGGGGGTCAAGAAAGTTTGATATTTTCAAAAAGAAATGCATGCATGTGCATTCTGTTTTTGTTTAGGCATTTCCCGTCTGTTCGCCTTGGATACATCACAGAAGTGAATTGTATACCTGCCAACTCCCACGCCTTAGGCGTGAGTCATGCCTGCAGGTTGAAAACTTCGATCTCATGCCGGCTCACGCTTGCGGGCCAATTTCTCACGCCTGTTTGAAAAATGTGAGTTGTTGCTGACTTGCTTGACACAATTTCCAAAAATTTGTTAACTCAGACCCATGTAAGGAACGAAAACCATGTGTAAAATGGATAAATGACAATACTTTCCTCGCGATCTCTGATTTTGTGGATAAGAGTTTTCTCGATAACTTTGCCTTCGGCAGACTTCGGATGTCTTCGGAAGACTTCGGACTTCTTCGGGAATCTTCAGACTTCTTCGGGAATCTTCGGAAATGATCGTGTCATCTTCAAAAATCCCATCACTCCCAGGATAAAAATCTCACGCTTATATCTCAGAAAAAGTTGGCAGGTATAGAATTGATAGAGAAGGCCTGAGAAAGTTCCGTACAGGGACTAGGCAATGTTTGAGACATTTTGATACATTAGAGGCCTTTTCATATGCTTTGGCTCTTGAAATCCAATTACCCTTTCATAAACCAAGTCTGAAAAAGGTACCCCTTTCAGGTGGAGCCTCCAAATTAGGAATATAGGCCATTAACCCCTTGACTGCCAAATTTAGCCGAAAGCAAATTTTGACCAAATTTCCAAATTTCGTGTTGTGAAATTTTAAAAAACAAATAGCACCATGTGTAGGTACAGGCCATGTGTAAGTACAGCTTTTATTTGAATAGTCACATCATAGGATTTTGTCTGCAGAATCAAAAGTTAGAGTCACCTTACTTTAACACTCCATGAAACACTCTTGCAGTGAAAGGGTTAAAGGGAGTACCCATCCTCCACCAGAAAAGTTTTGGGCTTGATCTCTTTTTTTTAACTCCGAAATGGCCTATTTTGTATAAGCTGGAAGAGAAGGTAGAAAAACATTAAGTCATTGCAAGGGCTAAGAGATAGTAAAACCAAAGAATTAACAAAGGTGCAATATTGGTGCAATACAGTGAAGATAAACACATTCTGAATTTACAGAAGAAATCTTGCCCTGAAATACTGTGTGCTTACGTTTGGCCCCCCTCAGAGATAGAAGTGTATTTCCCTTTAGCTCCTCAGACTGTGGACCAAATGGGCAGAATAATTGTATCTGAACCAGTGTTCCTAAACAATTGTTACTCAGACAATGGAAATTTCGTAGCAGATTTAACTTGTGAACTGCAGAAATACATATTTAAATGAAGATATGATTGTTACAGTGGTAATTGCAATTTGAGCAATTGCAAATAAATGGCCAAAAAAGTTCGGGGCGTCAGTGGGATTTGAACCCATGGCCTCTACATTAGCACTGCAGTACTCTACAAACAGAGTTATGAAGACCAATACCCATGGGAGCAGGCCAATTTCTTTCATGAATTAAGATGAACTCAACAAATTGAAAATTAATTAAGTCTTGTGTTTGAACTTTATTTAGCTGGCATGTTCATAAATAAGCTTAAAACTAAATTAAATGGTTTTTTTACATAGTGGTTTCAAATACAGAAAAAAATTCACAACTCCTTTTGAAGAAATGTTCCCGCAGGAGCTGAACAAATGCCTTCAAAATTTTTATTTATTTGCAAGAATTAGAAAACATGACAGCCATTTGATCATTTGCTCACCAAAATTGTAATCTTTGGCAGCATTTATGTGCTCAATTATCTCAATGTCTTAATGTATAAATAGAGGATATTACATGGTGGCGCAAAGATATGAATTTTATTATTTTTTATAAACACCAATGAAATACCAGGTGAGCTTTCACGCAAAAACTTGATATCTTCACATGTGAAAATAACATGTTATCTTCACATGTGAAAATATCACCGTTGCTATGGGCTATGGCTTCATAATAAATCGCGCCTTTCACACCAAAAAACTATTAAAGTGAAACGGTTTGGTATTTCATTGGTGTTTATATAATAAATAGAACATTACATGGCCGTTTGGAGATACAAAATTTCTCTTCTCGTGTTGAACAAATATTTCACTCGTTCGCTGCGCTTACTCGTGAAATATTTTTGAACACTTGAAGAGAAACTTTGTATCTCCGCGCGGCCATGTAATATCCTCTATTTATTTTCGAGTGGCAACACAAGATTTTATGAATGAGCGCAGCGAGTGAGTAAAATATTGTTTTTATATTATGCCACGAGAAAATGAAATTCATATCTTCAAGCCGCCGCGTAATGATCTTTTTATTATATAGACAAAAAGACATGGATAAAGTAATAGAGGGAAATGACCAAAATTACGTCATCTGTAAACTCACGTGTGAGATTATGGAAAATAAACCACTCGGGCCCGGATGTAGTTTTTATGAATTTTACGAGTGGTATATTTTCCAGTAAAACACTTGTGTCTATGTAATGAAACAATAATTCTTCACCTCAGTGTTGGTGGCTAGTGGTGGTAGTAAATATCCACCTCTAGCCACCTCCACTTCACTGAATAATACTTATAATTATTATTTATTTCATTTTTTTCTGTGATATTTATTAGGAGGAACTGTAACCAAGGCTTTTAACTACTTGGGTGGGATTCCCTGTAAAGTTCCCAATTTTGTTGGACGAAAAGAGCACTGTGCCACAGTGCTGGATAAACTGGATCCAAGCAACTCCTGCAGGATAGTTTCTATCACTGGTCCACCTGGTTTTGGAAAGTCAGCAGTGGCCATAGAAGTAGGACATCAACTTATCTCACAAAAAAGGTCACACGTGTACTACATCTCACTCAGGGACTTGTCATCATTAAATGGCATGGTTAATTCTCTCCTTGGAGCTTGTCAACTTGTGGCCAGCAAAGAGCCCATCCATCAGGCAAAACATTTTCTTCGTTCATTGAATGCTTACTCTGTGATAATCCTGGATAATGCAGAGGATATGCTGGTTCCTAAGGTGAAAGATGAATTTTGCCGCTTTATTGAAGTTGTTGCAGAAACATCTTCTAATGTCAAAATCTTGATCACGTCACGACAGTCAGTCACATTTTTTTCAGTAGACATGTTTGAACTTTGTTTGGACTCTCTTTGCCCAGATGATGCTCAACAGTTGCTGTTATTATTGGATCCAAATGTGGCAGAGGATGATGCAATGCAGTTGGTTGCTCACTGTGGTGGAGTACCTTTGGTTCTTCGCACCACAGCATCTCTCCTGGTAAAGGGAGTTGATGCTAAAGCCCTGATTAATGAATTTGAGATGAGCCCAGTGTCAACGCTCAAGTCATTCAGCCTAAGCACACTGTCACATAATCATCAGTTGTTCAACTGTCTTGGCATCTGTTTTAGCCGCCTTGATGGTGACCAGCAAGTTGCTCTGATATCTTTATCAGTTTTTCCCACAACATTCACTGTCCCAGATGCCCAATTTTTGCTTAGAGACATGACTGAGTATAAACTTGAAATGTTGCTTAAGAATCTTGTTGATAACTCAATGCTTCAGTTTGACCACTTGTCAAGGCAGTATTGTGTACACAGTATTATTCAGTCTTTTTGTCTTGACAGAGTGGATCAGGAAACTGACTTGCTTCTAACGTATCAATCAGCCAAGAAGTTATTCAACATTCACTATTTAACCATGCTGAAAGAACTCTATGCTACGTTTCTCACTAAGAAGTGCTTTAAAGCTGCACAAAAGTTTTTGATAAATCGACGCAATATCAGGCAGGCCTTGAATGACTCCTTGAGTGACGCAGATCTGAGGGAAGTGTGCATTCACACAGCTATTGAGGTTTTTCCATTTTTAGCCAAAGTATTCCAAAAAGAAAAGTTCCTCTCAGTTTATGGTCAGTTTACAGCTCAGTGTAAAGCAGGTGGAGACATGAAATGCTACAGTGACTGCTTGACTGCTGAAGCATACTGCATCCTTTCACATTGTGCTTGTCATCTTCCTTGCCCCCCTGCTGTTGCCAAGTTTGAGGAGGCTGACAAGATACAAAGAGAGCTTGGGGATGATTCATCCATTGTCCGGGCATTTTGCTTGAGCAAACTAGGTCGCTGTTTTGGTCAGAAAAAGGATTTGGAGCAAGCTATGTGTCTCATTGGAAAGTCAATTGAAATCAGAGAGAAACTTAATGATAAGATTTTCGTGGCTGTTGCTTACAAAGATCTTGGAGGTACTATATAATATGTTAATCTGTATTTAGTTCACCCACTAGTTTAAGATAATTAGCAAATAATTATTGAATGAGGCTGAGTTTGATCTCAGGAATCATGCAGATCGAGGAGAGTTATCCACTGACTCTATGGCCAACCTCGACGGTATGATAGGATTAGGTCTTTGGTAAATTATTAATTTGGTGGATTGTGGTGAGGAAAGAATGTGTTAGGTACAGACAAAATGTGATGCGGTATCAAGGTTCAAAATAATTTTCAGACAGTGGCTGGACACGATGACTGACCAAAGAAATTTTTGCTCAGTCAAGTCTCGTTTTCTGACAAGTCAAAACAGTGGGAAAAAGTGAACTAATCCTTGTTCAATTTTTCTATTAATGAACGTGATGGTATTTTTACAAACAGAGAAAATCTGAGATTTACAGGTGAGGATTTGTCTGTGTGACCGGTCAACATGACCGGCGAGTGGAGCTTTTGGCCAGTCAAGATGCCATACTAGCCGGACTTTGTTGACAGGCCATAATATCTTGAGCCTTGGGTACAATTCTCTACGTCATCAGAGACTTACGTTGACTTTTGCTCCAGACTTTCACTCCAAGGTGAAAACTCAGTTCCATTAAACTAGTGTATTGCCATATAACAATTATTCCACGAGGGCGCGTTGGATATGAGATGATAGATAGCCAACGAGGCGTGTAGCGCCGAGTTGGCTATAATCATCTCATATCCAACAAGCGCGAGTGGAATAATTTTTTTTATTAAAAACGCCCACAAAATCTCGTTGAATCTCCCCGACTAGAACAAACCGGAAAAGACAAGGGACTTCCGCTAGTCACATGTCACACGTCTATCAAAACTGTCAACGCGCGACGGACTCGCCTGGACTGCATGAATGAAAAATCAAAACATTGTAGCGATGAACATTAGTTTTTTAAAAACTCATCGGGATTCTAGGATTTTACACAGCAGAACAGCTAAAAAAACCTGGCAGATAATGTGCAGGAAAAGAATTTTAAGTGACAGCCGTCGAAATTACTGTGAATTTGGATTTTCGGTGCACTTATAAAAGTAAGAACAACGGAGAAAAACTATTACCTCGGTCGCTTGTTATGAAGTTGTTTGAAGCCATAAGTTGGTTTTGCTGAACGAGAAAAGAAGCTATACTGACGCCTCGATTGCTCTAGTGAATGGCTGCATAGCCTGTATTTGTAGCTGGTTACTTGTGATTTATATTCTTGATGTCGGATAAACAAGCCGCAGTTATCTATCGGTGAGTGACTTGATCGGCGAATGGCTTCGCGATCATGAAGAAACAACACTTGTCTTCTTTCGTAGCTGGTCAAGGTACTTTAGTTCTATGTGTTTTCATGTGTTTTTCGACAAACTTTCAAACAAGCTCTTGTGGCTTTTTTGTTTGTTTTTGTCTTTTTCTTTCGATGAAATTGCATTTCTAGTATTCGAAGAAATGAATTAAAACGATTTGCTTCGTGCGCCATTCTATCCTTCGCGAAAAAAAATCTCAGCTAGCTTCCAATTTTAAACTGACGCGTACACCGACCATATATGGAGAGCATGGTATAATAGCTCATATACCATAACGGCTAAGCCAATCAAAATGCTAGAATTGCATTATCCAATGATTCAGTTTTTAATAATTACTACACTCATGCGTGCAAGATAATCAAGGAATGTCGATTTTCCCAGCTTCAGTAAAATACCTTAAATCCTCTATTAAGCCCTCCAGGGGGCTTATTTATTTCAAGCCGATTTGAGGGAGAGCTTAATGGAAACGGGGGGCTTAGTTAATTTAGAAACGACGATGGTATCAGTTCTTCATAAAGAACTAGAATACAAAGGGGAAAAGCTCAAGTACAAGAAATTTTAGGTCATGCAGCCGAGGATCAGAATCATATCCGAACTTCCAGTCGGTAAATAAACCATCCCGGATCAGTCCCCACAAAGTTTTACGGTCTTGATTGATTAATACAGTCTATCATTTATTAGTGAAGAATAATTAGGGGTGGGGAGGGGGGGGACTTAATAGAGATGGAGGCTTATTAAGTTTCTTTCTCTGAAAATGGGTTGGCTTATTAGAGGGAGGGGGTTATTTGAGAGGCAGGGCTAAATAGAGGATTTACGGTCTGTTTTGTTCTCAGTCACTTTCATAACACATAACTCTTCTGCTTACTTATATAAATGATAAATGATATTCAACCAACTGAGCTGACCAGTTGGTGACCTGTTTTATCTAGCTAGAGTTTTAGAGTCTGGGATTTTTGGAACAGCAAACTAGATTACATGTACATGCCTCACGACCATTAGGCTGCATAACAGGCGCTTCATGCGCCAAGCGAGGTGAACGCGGCATTTTGCGCAAAGTGCGAGATGAGCGCAAATCGTGAGACGTTGGGAGGAGAAAAAGGTATTAGGTGGTCACGATATCCTCCTTACCAGATTGCACTCTAAATACTTTATCTCTGGCATAGCTCTTAAATGGTTTCGCTCCTACCTTACTAATCGCTCGCAATTTGCGTTAATCGAAGGGTGTAGATCGCAGTCTCGCAAGGTCAAGTGCGGTGTACTTCAAGGTTCTGTCCTTGGACCGATTCTGTATGTACTCTACACAGCACCACTGGCCGACATTCTACGATTCCACGAAATGCAATTTCACTTTTACGCCGATAACACTCAATTGTATATTTCTTTCTCTACAAACAACGACATGGAATTAACCAACATTATCACTAAGTTTGAGGAATGCCTGTCCGACGTTGATAAGTGGATGTCCATCAACGGACTAAAACTAAACAAAGACAAGACCGCGCTTCTCTACTTATTTTCAAAGTATAATCCACAACAATCCCTACCCTCTCTTCGCTTTGGAACTGACATAATCAAGCCCTCTCCACATGCAAGGAACATTGGCGCTATCTTCGATACCACTATGTCAATGCTTTCCCATACATATGTAAACGATGTTTGTAAATGTGCCTTTTATTGTCTTCGCACCATTTCGCGCATAAGGAAATACTTATCAACGCAAACTACTGAGATTCTTATTCACGCTTTCGTAACTTTCAAACTCGATCACTGCAATTCTCTACTATATAATGTCCCTAAAAACGTCATCAAAAAGCTTCAATCGGTGCAGAATGCAGCTGTCAGACTGATTACACGGTCTAGGAAGTGTGATCACATCACTCCCATCCTCCTCGATCTTCACTGGCTACCTGTTTCTGAACGAATTAAATTCAAGATTCTACTACTTGCCTTCAAAGCTCTGCATCAGTAATCTCCAACCTACATTCAAGACCTTATCACCCGTTACTTACTTTCTAGATCGCTTCGGTCATCCTCTACGCGCAGTCTGAATCCTGCCAGCTTTAACCTTAAGACCTATGGATCTAGAGCATTCTCTGTCTCAGCCCCCGAACTTTGGAACAACCTACCTGACGACATAAGCTCATGTGAGAATCTAAGTCTTTTTAAGCGTAAACTTAAAACCTACCTTTTTAAGAACTTTCAGTTCAGTCATTAGGAAGAGGTATTTGATTTTATATGTGTTTTATTTAAATTTAACTTTATGTATTTTGATTAACTTTTTATTCTAATTTTTTCACTTTGTTAAGCGCCTAGATCTATTACTGGATAGGCGCTATATAAATGTTCTTCTTATTATTATTAAAAAAAGAAAAAGGTTAAAGTTATTTAGTCTTGTTCCCTGAAGAAGGCAGCATTGCCGAAATATCGACAAAAGACTCTTTTGAACAGCGTCGACGTTAAACAGCGTCAAAATAGCATTTGAAAAAATTAAAGCGCCTGTTACCAGTCCATTGTTCTGGTAGCCTGCGTAGCAGGCGCTTAGAAGTATTGGGCGCAGGAGAGAAAGGGCGCGCGGGAGGGAGGCACGCGAGGGGTATCTCCTTCTCGCCCGCCCGTTTTTTCTTGCGCCCAGTACTTCCAAGCGCCTGCTACGCAGGCTATTGTTCTAGCTCTTCCCACGTTCACTACTTGGACTGGTTACAAGGGCTTTATATTTTTCTTGTGCCCTCGTCTGGTGCTTCGCGCAAAATGCCGCGTTTCGCCTAAAGCGCCTGAAGAAAGATGATGCGCCAGTGGTAGGAAATTACAGGCCAATATCGTTACTGAGTATTCGGAGTAAAATCCTAGAATCAGAGGTGAATGACTCCCTGGTACATCATGTCTTTAAGGAACACGGGTTAACTTCAACCAGATAATTACCCCTATAGGGGTACTCGACTGAACTCCTGCTTGTTCATCCTACGGAAATATGGAGAAAAGCTGTTGATTCGGGTCTCACAGTGGCTGTTGCCTTTGTAGATCTAGACTCTCGCAAAGCGTTTGATGGTGTCTCACATCCGGTCTTGTTGGAGAAATTACGTAAGAACTTTGGCATTTGTGATCAAGCATTGGGTTAGATTGCTAGTTACTTAAATGGGAGAAAGCAGTACACAGTTGTTAATGGAAATAACTCTGACACCACGCCTGTATCCATCGGTATACCACAGGGATCGGCGCTCGGCCCTACACTGTTCTCTTTATTTACCAACGATCTACCGTCATGTGTGAAATCAGGCTCCGTTTACCTATTCGTTTATTTATTAAAATACTCCGTTTACCTATTCGCTTATTCGCTCAGTTGGACAAAGCCTTAGACGAATTGTATGATTGGTGTATTCTAAATCGCCAAACCCCACATCCGAAGAAAGGCGTGGCTATGGGGCCAGTGGCCCCAATCCACATTGGCACTGATGCCAAAGAGTGGGTTAAAAAATATCGCTTACAAGGTACAACAGTCGACCATAAACTCTCCTGGGTGCCGCACATGTTGGACCTCAAGAAGAGTTTCGCAAAGAAGCTAGACTTAATTAGGAGGTCCAGGTTTTTACCAAAGAAATCGTTGGACTTGTTAAAACAAGCTGATTGGCATCCGTTGAGCTATAGTTATAAGCTAGGTCTGTTAAAGCTTATGCATAAAGCATTTCATGATGAGCTCCCACAAGTGCTATCCGATAATTCTGTAATAAAAAGCGCTACAGGTTACTCTTTGCGAGCGCCAGACTCTCTAACGGTGGCTCGTTTCAGCTCTACCTATGGCAAAAACTCTATCGCTTATAGAGGCCCCGTATTATGGGATGCCTTATTTTTTAAGGACAAAAATTTTTCAAAACATAAGTTATAAAGACCTGAAGAGGAAAACCCGTTCAATGGACATTTTTAAAGAGTTGACTTTTAAGGAGAGTTCTACGACAACTACAAATTTTAGACGTAAAAATTTTTATTTATATTTCGGGGATTTTAGAGTTTTCAATGATGTACATATATAGTTTAGTCAGAGTTTTTAACAATTAGCGTTTAGATAGTCCGATCTTTATATATTTCGTTTTTAGGTTTAGTTTTTATGCACGACCCCATAAGCTGCATAGCTTTTAATATCAACGTGCTAAAATAAAGGCTGTCTGTCTGTCTGTCATGCAGGCCAAACGATCTTATCTTATGCATGGGTGTATTCCTAGCTACATATAGCACCTGTAGAAGTTAGTTTTTCAACTGTTGTGTGTTTTTATGAGACTGAAATAGCCTTCAAGTCATTTAAGTAATGATCCGAGTTAAGACGGGAAGCAATTTCTCTTGTTATGGCGCAATATGCTTTCCTAACATAGGAATGTTTTATTTACACACAGACAATGCATAATCTTACAAAAAAGCAGTTTAGGGAATGAGATGTATTTAAAATTGATTTTTGAAAGGTGATTTTTTATGTTAAAAGATTTCGACCAATCATAAGAGTTGCAAAAAATAGCCAAGAAAAGTTGACAATTTTACATGTTCCTCACATAGGATCTCTGTGTTACTTAGACTTACACGAGATTTTGCTATAAGGAAGTTGGTTGGAAAACAAGGGATGAATATACATGCTGCTTTGCGAAGATTTGGTGAAATTTGTCGTTTGAACCAATCAAAAGTGTAGTAGAGACAATAGCAAAGTTGTCACCTTTTTGCATTCCGATGTGTTCATTGCGTTTGGTTCTTTCGTTCTTATGTGGATCATTACGTAATTATAAATATAGTGTACAGCTATTTTTTGTTTTCCCTCTACTCCAGCTGCCTATGCATTCAATGAAGCTCACAGTGATGCCAATAAAGTGAGGGAGGAAAAGTCACTTCCAGTGTACCTAGAGTTGCTTGGAGATCATCCTTTCACTGCCACCTTAATGGAAGACATGGGAGCCTCATACCAAGCACTGGGAGACTACAGCAGAGCAGTCTCGCTAATCCGTGAAGCACTTCGCATGAGAAAACAGGCTCTTGGAGATCATCAAGAAACAGCACGTTCCTTCCATGACCTGGGAAAGGTTAGTGTTATGAGCCGTAAAATTTGTGATCAAGGCACATTAGCCATTTGGTTACCAGAGGATTATTTAGGATCGCGTTAAAGCCCACAACAGCTTTTCTGACCGGGGTCAAACGGTCCTGATGATATTTGATAACAGTCAAATCTTACTGATAAACAGTTTATCCCACACAGTCGGGCAATTCAGAAGATTAACACTGAAAAAACTAACGGTTATATGGCTAATTTGGTCAATTTGCGGTCTGTAACTTCCTATACGGACCAAAATTCCAAAAGCAAATGCTCATTTCGCAGCTCTAAATATCGCCATCTCGAAAAAAGGTTCAAAGAAAGTTATAAGACGTCTATCAGCCTTGAGGATTTGGATGTTGACTTCGTCCTTCAACATTTTAACCAGTGTTTATTTGTTAACGAAGCCGATGATCAAACTGAATCATAATCTTATCGTAGAATAGGATTCCATTGAGTTACTTGAAATCTCAATCGCAGTATACAGTTAAGGAGACGAAAATCGACTGGCGGAGCTTCGAGACATTTTGCCTAAGGGAAAACTAGCTATTCGTTCGACAAATATGATAACAAACGTATCTGCACCTGATAATCTTGAGAACCGTCTTTGCCATTTGCAGGATTTTTTTTTCAAAGACCTGAACGAAAGAAAGATGGAGGCGACTTTGAGCCAGACTCAAATGTCCAGGTTTCGAAAGACTCCAGCGTCACAGTGGACAGCGAATACTTAACATACTTACTTGCTCTCAGTTTTGACCAAATAAACATTTTCAAAATGACGCATCTGCATTTTGATTTTTTATTGTTCTATTGTTTCTATGACCTAATTAAAACTTTCATTTATTAAATGACGCCTTCAAATGACTGTCAAATCGCTTCGGTTGTCCTGAACTTGCTTCAAATCCTCCAAATAGGAAGTCATATAATTAACTTCTTATTAGCCTCGTTTTTTCGGTGCGGATCCTCGTTTTTTTCGCTATAAATCGGTGGGAAAATCTCGGTCCGTAATTGACAGTAGGGACCAAAAAAGAAGGCTAATAAGAGGTAATTAGAGCTTGCTAGTATGTATGTATGTGTGGTAGATCTGTATTATATTGTGTAAGTAATTTAGCAGCATTGTAGTCATGTAGTAATATGTAAGTTATGTATTATGTAAGTAATGTGAGGACTTGCTCAGGGCAGCTATAATTGTTGCATAAACATTTTTATACCCTCGACTTTCTTGTACAGTAAAAACCCGTAGCTAAAATTTGCCAGGTAGGCCCCCTCTATACAAGAACCTGTTTAGCCTTAAATCTGAAACAGGTTCTTTTTTTTAAAAATCTATAAAAAAAATTCTGCACACTTTAGCAAAATTAAATAAGTGAACTTTCAGGATCCTTTTTGGCAGACATAGCTGCCTTATTACTCCAACTACAATTATAATAATGGTATACAGGTTTTACCTGAAGGAATGACCAGAAGACCACTAAATACTCTTTGTAGCTACAATGTATTTTTTTCTTCAGAAAATATGAACCTATTTAGGAACCTAAATAGCCTAAACTTGTTTCAATTTATGTAAAACCTGTTTAGGCTTACTTGGGAAAATGCAGGCTCTTGGTTGCGGGTGTTTACTGTATGACACTCACATTTCTTGGAGTTTAGGCGTTTTTAAGTCACCAAGAGCTCTTTTTTGTCTCGGTTTCTCCGTTTTTCTGACTTGTAAACAGTTCCTGCTAAACATTTTTCAAGGCCCTTACTTAATCCGAAATATTAAATAGGTGGGTTCACACGACGCTCCCAAGTGCACCTGAAGTGCATTTGAAAAGTCTAGTGTGAACTCACCTAATTCTCACAACATTTTATAAATCGCCCGCGATGTTGAACAAAACAAATCAAACAATTTTTTTCTATTTTCTTGCTTTAACAGGTGTTAGCAATCCAAGGAGATCTACACGAGGCGCTGAACGCATTAAGAAGTGCATTAGCCATCCAAGGCAAGGTTCTTGGGAATCATCAGGAGACCGTACGCACACATAGAGCAATTGCCCATGTCTTAGAAAGGCTTGGACGCCACGATGAAGCAAAGCATGAAGAGATGATAGCAACTCAGAGAACCTTGTCTATTGACGAACCGCAGCCTGAGAAGTAATTGTTTTGAAATCAAAGTGAAAGGCCTAGTTCGCCAATACCGTCAAACCAGAGTAGTGTCGGCCTCTTAAGAGAGGTACATCTATCCTCCCTTAAAGGAGGGAGGTGTTTGTTTGCCGCTGGGACCCTGCTTTATGTCCACCTCCGTGAGGTGTCCGTAGGATTCGACAGTATTAATATTTCAAGTCATAGACTAAGATGGTAAAGATGTAACGTACTCACTCATAATTCAATAGCTTTACAGAAATAACGAATCTGGTTGCATTTGTCTGTTTTAACAGAAGTTGACAACAGGGTAAGACGTGCATTATAACTAGCCTTGCTTAAGCAAAAAACAATTAAAACGTTTATGTTGTAGGGACCCTGTAAATTATGTATATGTGCAAACCTTAATTCTACGATACAAATTTACCGTTATGTCAAATAGCAAATTTTTTATAGTAAACGAAGTCTCAAATCCCAGGATAGAAAACTTATTAGCATAGACAAGCTCTCGACTTCAACACGGATTTTTTTTCAAGTGATGGAGTTGGATATTTTGTCACGTGATTTATACCGTATACTGTGAATCATGTGACAAAACGTCCCGGTAGATCGCCCGGGATTTGTAACCTCGTTTAGCTCGAAATATCATTATGACAGTTTTAAGCAACTCTCTCTTTGCTGACAGATTTCTTAATATATAGGGCATTTCACAAAATAGCCGAAAATTGCGAAGTAATTACTTCTAATCAACATTTTTTTATTTTTTACGTAATTTGTGGCTGTTAGGTAAGGTACAGTACTCATGTGGTGTGCAGTCATCATTCATATCTGCATTTCCTCATAGACTCATTTGCATGGAGATTTCCGTTAAGGGCCTGTTTACATGGAGGATAGGGACCCCAGGTAAACTGCTCAGATCGGGTAAAAAATAACCCACATGTACATGCAATCTTACAACTCCTCCAGCCGGGTGTACTAAAGATTATTGAATGGTCGCTAACTATGTAAACAACGGTGAATGCTCTTCTACTCTCCTTTGCTGCTTTATGCTTTCTATTTAAACTTTTAATGATGGAAAGTGTCCGTCAAAGGGAATTTGGCCCGAATTTAATGAAACTCGAACTCGATCCCAGCTAGGCGGCTTACCCAACCTTGAAACGTTTGCATGGCAAAATTTGACCCCGGCTGAGAGGGTTATTAAGTCTGGCAGACCGGACAACCCGCCTCGGCGGGTCACGCCACCTGTCATGTTAACCTGATGAAATTTAAAATGAGAGATTATACGGACAGGCGGGTAACCCAACGTAAGCGGATTTCCTCCTCCACCTCCATGTAAACAGGCCCTAAGAGTGTTTTACCAGGAATATTATATAAGCTCGGATAAAACATTGTGGCTATCGTATTCTTTTCGCTTTATAAACGATGCTAAACGGATCAGAAACAAAGTATTCTTTAAACACCTCGCAACCCCTCTTAAAGATCGGTTTTTACTGCGCTTTTCACAAACATGCGAATTCTGAAGTTAAAAAAGCCAACTGACGATTGCGTTTTTAGCTGCCGTCAATCATCTTAACGGACCTCTTTACTTTAACAGGTTCAAAAGGTCATGGTTTGTGATTTGTGATTGGTGGATTTCGATCCGTTTTGTGTGTTTCTGTGTTTCAAGGTTCGTTGCTTGTGATCGTAATTATGATTGACGGCAGCGAAAAACGCAATTGTGGAGGCGTCTTTTGAACTTTAGAGTTCGCATTTTTGTGAAAAGCGCAGGAAAAGAAGACGGCCTCTTTCTTTGTGCAATGAATTTTTTAAGGCTCGGTCACAACCTCGTTCGCTAGTATGAATGCGGCTGAAAACGATACCCGTCATGTAAGCCTCTTATCATGTGTTACCTGACATTTGTAGCTTTAAAATCCTAGCGTTAAAATATTAGTTACGATAAGATGTAGCATACGTTTGCGTAATAAATTGCTGGGATTTAAGGTGGCTCCGTTTATTAATACAGGTGCATTGAGTTATGACGAACGTTTCGCTATAACCTTGGTTTTAATGCGATAGCCACGAAACTTTGAAAAGAACAACTTGAAAAAACGAGGGAGAACAGCTATTGGTCTGTAGTTGGAAAATAGTGTTTCATCCTCATTTTTGTGTATTGGACTAATTAAGGAAACCTTAAGTTCTGGGATTATCCCTGTTAAAGGAGATTTGTTATTTATGATTTTCAATGGGTGGTTTAGTAAGTGTGCTACTCTACGTATAACGTTAGGTTGAAGTTCATCAAAAGCCACAGCTTTTGTTAGTAGTTCTTTTCCTATTTCGTCTTCTGTCACAGGCATGATAAAAAAATTCTCACCTTAATCTCTACCTAAGTACGTTTTGAACGATTTAGAAGATCCTGGTATGTTTTTTACTCGATTAGGACCTACGCAAACGAAATATTCATTAAAAGTTTCGGCTATAATAAGGGGATCAGATAATTCTTCACCATTTTGGTAGAACACTTTGTGGCAAACATTTCCTTGAATGCCCTTTGTTTATTACTTTGTTTATTAATTGCCATGTTTGTTTTATATCTTTGTGAACTTCACTAAACTTTTCTTTGCAGTGCCTCTTTTTTGATATTTGTATGAGATGGTTCAGGTTATTTCGATATCTTTTATACTCTTTTATATTGTCTGGTGTTGGGGTCTTTAAGCTTTTTCTATAAAGTTTATATTTTATAGTCAGTGATTTTAAAAATTTATAACAATTGTAACGTTACGCTATTGACGAGAGGCAAGACAGTCGAGACACAACTCAAGATTCAAGATCATTAGAGTGATTTTACTTGGATCGTGAAATACGTAGTAGAATACTACGCACTATCATGTTTACCTCTCACTATTTTGCAGCATTTGTTAGTATCAGCTGTTTCACGGTTCAAGTAAAATCACTCTATCTGTCTACGTGTCAGATATCACATTACTCGCGTGGCAATTAGGATATAAAAAAATAGCGATATCATTTATTTGCCCCAGGAAGGGAAACTTTACTAGAAAATGACATCGGTTACACGCACAGATTATGTGGGTCCCTTGTGGCGGGACCTCGTCGCTTCGCGGCGCGGTACTATGAACACTTCCACCTCCACTTCAGTGAATAAATGTAATTGTTATATATTTCGGAGGATTTTTCGCACTGCAACTCACGTCAATGAACGGACGTTTGGCTTGAAGCGCATTGGAATTTTAATCCAACGTCATTACCTTCAGTCTAAATCCGAGCATCGATCTTTTGTTATTTTTAGAAAAAATACAGATGAATAATACGCTATGGCTATGATTTGCTCCAAAACGCGGATTTTAACACAAATGTTTCAATAAAAGCTTGAAGAAAATGTTAACTGAGTTATGTGTCTTGTTTTTTTTTTCGTCATCCCGTGCTGTTTTAAGAGCTGTTTTGTGATAATATTCATCTCGCACAACTGTAGTTTTGTTACGTGTTTAGAGGCAAGTTTATGGCGAGGACAAGTTGGCGTGCAGTTGATTAACAGCCTCAGAATTAGATCACAACCTTTTCCACAACCTAGAATCTTCTACCCAAAGACTGCTTGAAATACGCCTTCAAAATACAATCTTTTTGAAGTCACACGTGACTTCAGAATGCAGAGAGCTCATTTCCTGTCATTGGTCAAGTGCGCCCCAAGTAAGAAATAAATATCTTGGAGACTGAATTCGAGAGAGAAAAAATCTTGCAAGGAAATACCTAGGAAAAAATATCCTGCTCTAAAAAAATATCTCTCCTGGCGTATAATGCTGGAAAAAAATCTTACACCGTTATATGAAAAATTTCATCCTCAGAGGTTTTGGGAAAAAATTCTTACCCAAACCAAATCCCCCAAAAGTTCCACCCCATACTTAAAACTGCACGTGAATTCCTTTCTTTTACGCTTATCACCAGGGCAACAAAGAATCCAAGAATTGCGGACATTAAATCTTTCACACTCTAAGTACGCGAGCTACACTTTGGTGATTCTGCACAAACCCACAGCACGCACCATTCAAAAGACGTTTTGGACAAACAAGGAGGGAAAATATTGCGCTTATAGAAAACGAAGTACTGCAAATTAAGAATGTTTTTAATTACACTCAGCTTAAATTAATTTTTACCTCTTTGATAAATTTTACAAAGAGATTTGAACGCGTAAATAAATCAGATGAGAGCTTCTATTAAAACGTAATTCAGACTCCCTCAGAAAGGAATTCGCACTAAAAATATGTATTAAGTGTACTTCAAGTGCCCTTAAATTACATAAATTACTAGTTGGGATGTTAGGAGAACAAGAAAAACTTGTAAATCACTCGCCTTAGGTTCGCGATATACAAGTTTTTTTTTCGTGTTTCCTAACACCCCGCGTGGGTTGTTGAGCCGCTAAACCCACAGAAAATGCGTTTTATTGCGTGGTATATACCACCACGGGCACGGTCACAGCTAAAATTTCGCTTTCAGATTTCCCATTTTAAAGATTCCGCGCTTTAAAGATTCCCCGTTTTAAAGATTCCCCGTTTTAGAGATTCCCCATTTTAAAGATTCCCGCTTTTAAAGTGTCCCCGTTTTAGAGATTCCCCATTTTAAAGATTCCCCTTTTTAAAGATTCCCCGTTTTAGAGTTTCTCGCTTTCAAAGATTCCCCATTTTAGAGATTCCCGCTTTTAAAGATTCCCCGTTTTAAAGATTCCCGCCTTTAAAGATTCCTCGTTCCCCGTTCCCCCCCATTCCCATTCCCTGATCATGATTTTCCGTTTCCCGTTTTAAAGATAGCCACGTTACTAATATGAACAGGAAAGCAAGACGGAATTACTTCTCAAGTAATTTAAAAAACGCTACTAATCCTAAGGCTTTTTGGAACATACTTCGCAAAGTTTCGCTTGGTAAAGATGAAGGTCGTGATATCCAGAACCTGGTAGTAGATGGAAACGAACCGCACGACCAAGAAGCTATTGCGGAATCATTAAACCAATATTTCACAACCATTGTGTTGTCTATTTTAGACGGGCGTACGATAGACCGTAACAGTCAAACGAAAGAAACTCACGTGTTCAATGTGCCACATTTACGAGAGCAGGACGTTTATAACGCTTTATACACAATCGACGCGTCTAAAAGATACTGGTTCTGACGGGATTCCTGCAAGAGCATTAAAGAGCGCGGCACTCCACATTAGCCAGGTCGTCACTCATTTGTTCAATGAGTCTTTCAAACAAGGAATATATCCCACCTCTTGGATCCTCTTGGAAAACGGCTAAAGTAACTCCCGTGTTTAAGGGTGGCAAGAGATAAGAGTGTGAAAACTATAGACCTGTTTCAGTCTTGCCCTGCATCGCAAAAATCCAGGAGTCTTTCATGAATTTGGAGCTACAAGCTTATGCCAAAGAAGCAGATCTTATTGAACAGCACCGGTTTGCCTTCGTCAAAAACTCTTCTACTATGACACTTCCACATCATCTACTGAAGTGAGTTATCTCGACACTAATATCAAGACTGGCGACAACACACCTTTCCGTATCAGCATCTACGATAAGAGAGAAGACTTTGCATTTCGGATTGTCAACTTTCCTCATATGGACAGCAACATTCCCGCCAATCCAGCTTACGGTGTTTATATATCTCAACTGGTGAGATATGCTAGAATTTGCACGTCCAAAGTTGACTTCATCAATAGACTCCGTGGACTTTCATTACGACTCAGACAGCAAGGCTTTGAAACCAATCTACTTCAGAAATCATCAAATTCTTCAGTCGCCATGGTCTTATCGTCGAGAAGAATGGTGCAGCCCTGCCGGAGATGAGATTAGCAATCCAGGCTTGAATTGCACCATCGTATCCTTACATTACTTATTTATTGCATAGTGTTGCATCAGTTTCAGTTGTATCTCGGTACGTGTGCGCGTACAATTTTATTTTGAGCGCGCGCATTATTTGTTTATTTATTTAATTGACGTGTACATTTAGTTCGTTTATTAACGTCTTAATTTTACTTTGCGTTATTTTCCTCACTTATGCACTGTCCGTGACTGTGCTCACATTGTGGGTGGCTCCTCCTAAAATGTTCTGCAATTGGTATAGGATTTAATTGAGCCGAAACCAATTGTGGAATTGCACGCATTTTAGGCATCCTACTGATGAACAGTTGCGACACCACAGGTGGCCCAAGCGTAAAATGAGAGTTTGTATGGGAAATAAAGAGTTGGAAACTTAGATAAAATAACTGAACGAAAAGCGATAAAAGTTATTAATAAAGTGTAAATATTGTTTTTTCGTGTCATTGTGTTTGTTTTTACGAAGTTTCAGCGCGATTTGACTACTTTTACATCATTTGACCTGACATTGTAATAATAAGAGACTTATTATTACACTGTCAGGTCAGATGATGTAAAAGTACTCAAATCGCGCTGAAATTTCGTAAAAACAAAGACAACGAATCCAGGTAACAATATTAACACTTAATTGATAACTTTTATCGCTTTTACTTCATTTATTTAATCTAAGTTTCAAACTCTATTTTTCCCACACAAACTCTCATATTACGCTTGGGCCACCTGTGGCGACACGTAGATATATATTTTTTAGCAACTAAGATGATTTGCAGTCTGTCTACTCTGAATTGCATTGTTCAGAACAGTCGATGCATGGAAATTGGCTATTGACAAAAGGGGAAGGGTTGTATGTGCTTTTCTTGACCTTCAAAAAGCATTTTTTTAACTCTTCTCGTCATCGCCTTCGAACTACAACCTGAGGAACTCGGACTTTCACGTTCAAAGGGTAAAAACTGTTAAATGTGGAAAGCATTCCCTCAGATTTTTTGGGCCATTTTTATGGTCAAAATTGAGTATGAAGGACAGAAACGAGACCTCCTTAAGCAGGTTTAAAGCAAATATAAGGAGAAAAGATCTGAGCAAATTGGTTAGTGATAACGCATGCAAAGGGTGCCACCTGTGTGACTCATAATTCATAAACAGAAAATATCATAACTAGTAGAGTTGATATATTATAAATAGAGGATATTACACGGAGGCGAGAAGATATGAATTTTATGTTCGAGCCAACGTGTAATGTTCTTTTTATTATATGGAGAAACCAATGCAACAAAAGCAAAAGGTGGGAATCGTGACGTCATTGAACGATACGACACTCACAAAGGTGACATACGGAAAATACGCCACTCGGGTCCCGGATGAAGTGGCGTATGGAATCAACGAGTGGTTTAGTTCCCAGTAAAACACACTCCTCCATATAATAAAATTGTATATATAGTTTTTTCTTATTTATTACATAGGTGTATTTTCGAAGCATATTGAATATCGTGTATCTTTTAAGTAGTTTTTGAATAGTTTAATCTTATTAGCTTATAGTATTATGTATATTTATTTCTTATTAATAAGTAATTTAAGTAGTGTCCCCGATTAGTAGGCCTGACGGCAAGCTAGAAGATTAGACACTAAAATAAAGTTGTTGATTGATTGATTGATTGATTGATTTGAGGTGATCGATCACGCTACCCTTCTGGATAATCTGCAAGCATACGGTGTACGCGGAACACATCTGGAGTGGATGAGGAGCTATCTGTCTGATACAGCTCAGTTTGTTTCGTGTTGTGGTTGCGGCTCTTCTAAGAGGGAAATAACTTATGGTGTCCTTCAAGGGTCAGTACTTGGACCGACCCTTTTCAACGTTCACATAAATGAAATAACCAGTGTCTGTCAAAATTGTTATGTTGCTTTATATGCTGACGATACTGAAGTTCATTCAAGTTCAAAAGACATTGATAGCGCTGAGGAATACATCAACCGTGACCTGAAATCAATTAGCACTAATCAAGTATGGGCCCATGATGTGGGAGCTGAAGGAGAGATACAATGGTTACAGGGTTGAACAGTACAACGTAATAATTGACGTACTGGGTGGTTACTCTGAAGACCTAGAGAAGTCGGTGAGGAAGCTACTACGAGCGAGAGCACGGAGCGTACTTGAGCGGATGCAGAAGTCGGTCATCTCAAACGCTTTGAACATTGCCAGAACATTTAAGATAAATACTTAGTTAGGGCACTAAGGACACCAGATTTTAGATTTTTTTCTCTAGAAATCCAGAAACACAAGTTTACTGCTGTTTTTACTTAGATTTTATAGAGTATTAGAGTTTGATATTATTCTAAATAGGCTTTTAGTAGAGATAACCACATTATGATTGCCTCGTTTAGGTATAAAGAGATAATGAGAGCATAAAAACTGAATAATTTTCTAAATAGGCTTCTTGTAGAGATAATTATATCATCATGTCTTTACGTCGGTTTTACAGAGTATAAGAATTTAATAATATTCTAAATTGGCTTTTTAAGTAGAGAGATTCATATCGTTATGTATATTAGGATTGTATTAGGTTTCGTACCGACCCTTTTTTAATTCTAAGTATAGCTTCTCAAGTGGTGTAGGTTATGTTATGCGCCCTACACTATACTCATAATATGAACAGCATTCCAAAGTTTTATACTGCAAGATAATAATAATAATAATAAAAATAAAATAATAATAATAATAATAATAATAGTAATAATAGTAATAATAATAACAATAACAATAATGACAGTTTGTAATTATTATCATTGAGGATGTTTTATGATGACGATGATGAAGAATATTATTTATATTAAAACTGCTCGTGACACGGCCACCACCACAACAATATCAATGATTCCTACTACAAATTAAGATAGATCTCTGATTCCAACACAGTCACTTCAACGAGCGCTCAGACTCATTTTCGAAGAAAATTCATTCCAATTTCATGGACAAAATTATCTTCAGACACATGGGAAAGCGATGGAAACAAAGGTCGCTGTTGCTTTCTCAAATATCTTCATGGTGAAAGTAGCTAGAAACAGTTAACTATTAAACAAAAGAGCAAAAAAGCCAATTTGATTGAATAGGTTTTTAGATCAGACGACATCTTCTCTCTCTGGGATACCGGAAGAGAACAATTTATAACACACTTTATTAAAAAAGTAAATAATCATCACGCTACTGTTAAATTGTCAGCAGAAATCTCTGAAAACAAAATCTCATTTCTGGGTACGATTGTGTACAAAGCCAACTGAAACATTTCAACACACACAGATAATCACCATTTCCGCTTTTGACTAATTTAACTCGACAAGCTTTGCTTAGAGCATTCTGGATACGCTTCTCACTTTCTGTTAATGCGCGTCTTGTGACATGCAAATCAGCTAAGAAACGGTAACTTATGCGCATGTGCATCAGCTGACTGTGTCCCTTTGATTTCCTTCAAACTATTTGGCAAACTGTTCCATATCATAGCACCTCTATAATCAACTGAGAGACGGCTATTTAACAATTATTCGCCGAAGGCTAAGTTAATATTGTTGAATAATCCCGGAGACGAAGTCGAGGGGATTATTCAACAATTTTAACTGAGCCTGAAGTGAATAATTGTTTTAGTATATTTACACGAATCAGATAATGTTATAAACATCTCATTCGAATCGAAGTCGTCCTCATGGAAGATTACGTTTTTCCTCTACACGAAGATTTTGAAGCCGGAAGGCCGCAGTTGTGTGAGCACTTTCCTACGACCCCGCTTGAGAATTGAATTACTATTATTATTATTATTATTATTATTATTGTTGTTGTTGTTGTTGTTGTTCTCGATGATGATACTTATTATTAGGTTTACTTGTCGTCCGACCAGCCATTTCAAGTTTATTTCAAAGTGCGACAGAACAATGATCACATTTTTTATATATCCTTCAAGGTTTATCCCAAACTGAAAATGTTAAATAGGGTTTCATCCTGTTTAAGTTGAAATGTTCTGTTAAGGATTTACAAGCTAACCATTTTACCTATATCTGGTTATGGGATTATGGGTGTATAGTTTGGGGTAAACAGAATGCACAATGTTTAGGACGTCTACAGAATCAAGCAATGTGTATCATTTTAGCTGCTCATCTCAAATCTTGTACTCAGGACATGCGTACTAAGTTGGCTCTTTTATCACTATTGAGTAGACGTCGTTTCCTAAGACTTCAGTTAGTCTATAAAATTGTTTATAATGTCAACTGTCCAGACCAGCTTAAGAACTACCTTGTTAAGAGATCACAATTACAT